TTGTTGCTTTAACTTTAAAAGGCTAAGTGTCTCCAGTGGCTCGAGTCCACAAGCTGCTCCTGAGGACATAGATGATGGACAGTCTCCTCCCTTAAGATAGACCACCTCGGAAACTTGGGGGAGTACTAGGAGCCAGAATCCACTCAACCTCAATGAGGTTGATGGTTTTTTGAAAAAAAGTACGGACTGTTGTTTCAAAGTAGGTAAAGTGAAGTATGTTGTTGTTGGGTGCCGTCGAGTCACAGGTGACTCATAGCGACCCTATGAATGAAAAAGTCCTTGACACTTGCGTGTCTTTCATCCTCTCTCCAGATTCATTGGGTTTCTGGAGGCAAGCCATTTTGGAAGTGGATGCCACTCGTGCTTCCAAGCTTGTTTTAATCGGGAAGCTCCACCAAACATTGTCCACCATGGGTAACCATTATCACATTTGACACATCAGTGTCACAGTGTTCAGCTTCCCAGCAACCACGAGTTACCTCTGTACGGCAAGTGGACACACCAGGGCTATACGACCTAGAAGAATGTTTGACCAACAACAATTTAAAACAGGCTTGAGGGCCGTGGATTAGAGTCACCCACCTTTGGCTTGGTAGCATCAAAAGTTAAGTATAGGTTAAGATTAATTCAATTCAGTGCAATTTATTTATTTTTACATCTGTTTATCAGAAATTCTCTCAGGAACTTGGTGTAAAATCACTTAAGTAGCCAAAATACTTGGTTTTGGGGGGCTTACCCTGCATATTGTGAGACCAGCAGTATATAGCAAAATAAAAAAAATGTTCTTGAGGGTGCGAAGTACTAGGGAAGAGAATGAAGGGAGCTGAGACTGTTGTGTTGTTGGACATGAATTTTTTTTTTGACAATACAGACCTCATTGAGAAGGTGGCATTTAAGTTGACTTGCAGAAGTTTGAAAGGAGTCTGTATATAGAATGGAAAAAGTTAAAAGTCAACATAGATGCTAATACAGAAGCTATGGGTGTATTTCAAGAGCTGCACAGAAGACAATGTAACAAGGAGGTGAGTAAGGGGGAGAGATTGTGCAGTTGAGGTCAGAGTGCCCAGGCAGCCACACTTTTTTCAATTTGATATTTATTCTTGATCATTATAATTTAAAAATTTATAATTTGATCACTGGGAAACCACTCAATGTCAGAAATGTTAAGTCCAGAAATGATAAGTGGTATTCCTGAATTGGATGGCTCCTCAAATGGCAAGAGAGAACTCTTGTTGCAGCATCCAGAATTTTGTACTTTTCTTTTGATCTGGATACACAGAATTGAGTAAATATAGACAGAGTGGAACAGGATTATTTGTTAAATGCTGTAGAGTTGTTTCTGACTCAACATATGTCTTATCACAAACTCAAGCCGGTGGTTGAGTATATTTACCTCAAAGAAATAATTCACATGGTTGTGGAGGATGGTAAATCCCAAATCTATGGGTCAGATGTCACATGGAAGGTTGCTCCAGCTCACCTAGTTGGAAGGGCTGCCAAACCGAAAATTAGAAAGGTCACCCAAAAGGGGCTGCTGATTCACAGGGTCGTGTAGCTGGGAATTCCTGAAATATGTAAGTGGGTGGCAGGCAGCTGACGCAGGGGTACAGGATGATGAGTGGGGTGAAGGATGCAAGTTTTGTCGGAAACCCACATACACTGGATGCAGGTCACATCCCCCAAGAAACTCCCCTTACATCAGCTCACAAAACAGAAGGCAATTACACCATAGCAGGCTCAGAGGACAGCCAGGTTGATACACAACACTACCCACCACAGTCCAACCTTTACCAACTTGGCACGTGCACACACACCCTTAAACCATTCTCTCTAAAACATTGTCATACTTGTGCCAAACATGACACGACTAATGTGCATACAACCAAAAACACATTATTAGTTAGCCACATTAATAGCTTATACTTCACAACAATTAATGGGTTCAAGGACAGAAGAAAACAAAAAACATTTGCTGAACACACATTATCTCTGGGTACATTCCTCATGATAGCGGCTCTTTAAGACAGAACTGCCCGTCGCATTTTCAAAGCTGCAGATCTTTACGAAGTAGAATGCCTTATCTCTTGTCTGCTGAGAGTCAGATGAATTTGAACCACTGGCCTTTCAGTCAGCAACCAAGTACTGAACAACTGATACATTACTAGGGCTCCTTGATACAGCAAGAGGCGTAAGACTCTGAACCAAAGGCAGATGAGAGCTGTAGGTCCCCTCCTCCAACTTCTTCCAATTCTCAGCAGAGTACTTTCCCCAGTGGGCCACCGGGGATCATGTCTGTTTGGGTACAGAGATCTTAATACAGAAAGAACCAGGGAAGGGGAGCTCTGGTGGCCTAGTGACAAGAAGCTGCACTGCAATCCCAGAGGAACACGGTTCGAATCCACCAGATGCTCTGCCGGAGAAGGAGGCGCAATATCCTCCTGTACCAGTCAGATCTGATTTGACGGTACACGCACACAAAATAATAATTTAAAAAAAAAAAAGAACCAGGGAACCACAAAACCTCTCCCAGTATGAAAATCCCAACGAGTTCCTCTCCCTCATTCCTAATCTTCCCCTGTATTTTCCGTCTTTCTCATGTGAAACATAAATGAACCATGTCTCTTACAGTCTTTTTCATTGAGCACAATGCACTGAGGATCCAACTGTATTTTTTTATTTTATTGCTAGTTATAAGGGTACTTCACTTTATACATACCCAGCTGATATGCTCTTGGGTTGTATCAATATTTTGGCAATTATGAATAAAGCCGTCATAAATATTAGTGTGCAGGTTTTTACACAGAATAAATTTTCATTTCTCTTGGATAAATACTTCTGAGTATGACTGCTGGTTATGAGGTTAAGTGTACATTTACTTAAGAAACTGCCAACCATCTGCCAGAGTTTCAGAGTCCAGTTTTCACCCCGCTCAGGAATCACGAGGAGTTCTAGAGTTGTGTGTTACTTGCTGTGCATCAGGCAGACAATGACTAAGGATGATGGAAGAAGAACTGATGCCTTTTAGTTGTGGTGCTGGAGAGGAGTACTGAATATACCAGGGACCACCAAGAAAACAAATAGGTCTGCCGTAGAGAGGATGAAGCTCCAAGCTGCTCCTTGGAGGCAAGGATTTTGGGACTCTGCCTCACATACTTTGGGTATGTAACCAGGAAGGACCAGTCTTTGGAGAAGGATATTATGCGTGGAAGGGCCAAGAGACACAATCCTGGAGGAGAAGAATCCAAATGGGATGGATTGACACAAGAACTGGAGGAATGAGGCCAGGTGGATCAGACAGTGAGACTGACTCAGGATAGAACAGGGTTCAGCACTATTATACACAGAGTCACTATGAGTTGTAGTTGACTCGATGACACATAACAAGAACAATGAGGAATGATATTAACCATTATTGCATTTATCAGATATATCTGAAGAACTATTCACATAATAAAAGACAAATATTTTTCTATGCAATTACATGCTATGCATCAGAAAGCTGGACAGTGACTAGGGATGATAGAAGAAGAACTGATGCCTTTGGGCTGTGGTGCTGGAAAAGAGTACTGAATGGACTACCAGGAGAACCAAAAGGTTTGCCCTGGAGAGGGTGAAACTGGACTGCTCCTTGGAGGCAAGGTTTCTGAAGCCCCATCTGACATACACTGGGCACGCTGCAAGGAGGAACCAGCCCATGGAGAGTGGCGTCTTACTTGGGAGGGTAGAGGGACAGCGCAAGAGAGTAAGACTCTCGATGAGATGGGTTGACTCAGTGACTGGGGTAATGGGTGCGGCGTGTCAGAGACAGTAAGCTTGGCTCAGGCTCCAGTAGGGTTCAGAGGTGTTGTACATGGGGTCACTATGAGTCACAGGCAACTTAATGGCACATAACAACAACACATTAGTGAGGAAAGGGGAGTTGTGTTATATAGGAGATATAAAGTTTTAAACATCTGTTATCTATCTTTAGACTGTAGGAATGTATCATTTGTTTAATTAAGGGTATTATTATAAATCTAAAAAACTACCATTACTACTAAATACTAAGCCTTAGAGAGATACAAACTTCCCAGGGACTCCTACCAGAGGGAGAAGAAGAAAAGTATTTTAGTGTATAAATGTCCAAAGAGGGAAGAGAAACGGCACAGGGGCAGGGGAGGGGAAACACAGGGTCATAGAGTTTGGTGGGTTGAGGAAGGAATCAGGAAAGATCCAGTGCAGATCTGAAATGACAGAGTAATGGTGGGCATAAATCGATGGTGATTGATTTTGTAAGATACAATGTATGGGAATGACTGTATGAAACACAATATGAATGAAGGAATGAATTTTTAAAAAGAAAAACAAGAAATAATTAAAAATGCCTGGGGGGGGTGAGTTGTGGTAGTAAATACATATTAGGAGAGGATGGGCAGTGTTGGGGGGGTGGGGGAGAAAGTATTTTAGCCTGGTCTGGCCTACCAGCACTTTCTCTGTTGAAATAGTCCTGAATTAAACTGGAGCACCGGAGACAGAGTTGAGATTTCAAGCATAAAATGTCATTTTCCTTTCACAGTAAAGAAGACCAATGAATTTAGCACTCCAACAATGACAAGCTGTAGTTATCTGAGAATGAAAAGCTGGCCAATTACCAGCTCTTCCTCTGGTTCCTACATAAACAGTCCTCTGGCTTGTAAAACCTAAAAGGAAAAGTTCTTACTCTCGCTTTTCTTTTCAAAGCCTTGATCCTGGTGTCCTAAGTGAACTGAACTTTACTCAATTAATAAGGATCACTGAAGTAAGAGTTTCTCAGAAAACAAAAGGCAAGTTACCTGTCTGTGATTCCTAGGATTCTGGGGACAAGAAGATGACAATGACTCATCAAAATCCACCAAGTACAGTTCCTGATCCAAGGAAATCCTGGGGCCAAATGAAAGGCCGCCACTCTTGACATGCTTGGCCCAAAGGCAGAACTATTAAGGGTTGGGAGTACTGTTTTCCTCTGAAAAGGGAAAGCTTACCTTTCTTTCTTTTAATAGCTTCTTGTAGCCATTTGATCCAAGTGATAATAAGGTAATAAGGACATCCAAAGAAGGAGAAGCTGAAGCTCTTCCTGAAATAAGGATGAACAAATTACGTACAGGTGAGAAGAAAATATCTGTGGAAATTAAGGTTTATTTAATAGCCTATGTACAAATGAGATTTTGTTAGTTTCTTTTTCTGAAGAGCAAGTGATATATTTACCTGGATACATCTTGCTGATTTCTTGAATGAAGGATTCATTAAATCCAGCAATGATAGCACCACCTACTGGAACCATAAAATTTTTGTCCAAGCTTTGAACAAAGGCATCTATTCTACCAACTCGAGCTCCCTAGAATGAAACAACACGTAATAGTGCATTAGCTGGTAGAGCATGAGATGTACCACTTCTGTCAGAAAGTTATTTCTATAATCACAATCCAATTATTTTCTTTCTACCAGTGCCAGTCACATTAAACTCGGTTTTCAACTAGTGCCAATTATATATGGAACAACACTCGGTAATAGTGTACAAACCTGTTTTCACACATAAACCACTTAAGCCTCACAGTAACAGTCAAGGTTTCGGTATCAGTTAAGGTGGAAACTGCAAAAAGACAAAGCTTTATACCTTAAAATGCAGTAAGAAAGAGGGTGTTCCTCGTGTGCCTACCATGTGAGACCCTCTGTTTGACAATAAAGGACAACACCAGAGCCTGTAACTATTAAGTCATCTGAATAAACTCTTTAACACTGTTTGTGCATCACTCATGTTCCCTGGTGTTCTAATCTCTGATGATTTCATTCCACCGCAAATTAACCCCCAAGTGAAAATTAAGTATTCTGGTGAAAATCTGAATACCTACCCGCTAGAAATGTAAAACTAAATTCTGGTCGTCATCCAATACAGCAGTTGACCTTCTATCTAATACGCTTCAATTTTCTCCTCTTAAAATAAAGATACCATCTAAACTCCAAAGACGACGGGTTTTTTCTTTATCTGTAGCCACAGAGCTCCAATCTATATTCACAATCTACATTTCTATTAATATTATAAGTGCATTTGACCTTCATTGTCACGCCGCCTCAGCACATCTATATCTCATAGAGAAGGAACAGATAAATGGCTTCATCTAAGAGACCAGATCCAAAAAAGCTGGTGGAAGCAGGAAAAGCAAGGGGACGAACACTTCTTGGGAGGCTATTACACAACTGGTTCCATCTCCACCTTCCCTCTCACTCTGCCCTCTCATGTCCCAATAAGCTATCATCAGAGCAAAACCCACCGTTATCACAGGAAAACACAGAGAAGCATTTAGACTAATGGAATAATGAACTGAAAACATGCAAAGTGGCAGCACTTGAAACGGAGCAGCCAAAGCTGTCTTTATAACCATTTAAATACCATCCATCGTTTCCTGAGAAAAATAGATCCTACAATGGGAGTACTCCTACAGGAGTAATATCAAGAGATAGAAACTTTATCATAGGGATTACTAGGGCCCCTTGACCACTAAAATACAGATGGCATCCAAAGGAGAGGACACCCTGCAGTGAGATAACAAACACTTATGAATAGTGCAGACCTTGTTCCAAAGACTGCAGCCAGAGAATGACTACTCATTGAAGAGGAAAACAACTGAACTTTTTTTTAAAAAAAAGGAGGAGAGAAAAATACTCTACCCAACTACTCAAAGGATTTGGAAGTAGGAGTGGCATCCACTTCCTAAAACAACCTGCCTCTAGAAACTATGAACTTGATAAATGACGACAGTTCTAGAAAGGCTTCCGGTCTTTTGTTCATAAGGTCACTATGAGTCGTGCTTGGCTCAAAGGCAATCAACAACAACTCAAAGGATGGAAAAGTTTATACAAAATAGGAAGCACAGAATCATGTTCTGTGAGGTAAAGAGCTGAAGTGTGTTAGTTCATTCATTTACTCATTGCTTCCAGAATAAGCATCTGAGCATTTATAATCTGCCACAGACTAAAGACAACAATAGTGAACAAAACAGATTATTAACTGTTCAAGAAATTACTGCCAAAATTTACAGACTACTAAGTATCAGGGTCGGGTGGGCGGGCCTGTGCATTTACAAGTCAGCTGAGTTCCGCCTGTGTCTCCAGTTTGGAGGCTTATGTATGAAGCCATTGGATTCTGAAATGTGAGTTCTTGTTTTGGCTGAGGGTCGAGTGTGGATTATCTGGTTGTTTTTATTTTGTTCACAGCCATGTGTGAGCCGACCAGATTTTCTGGATTTGGCTAACAATGAGCTGTGGGCTGCAAGCCTCTTGTTTAGAGCCAATCAGGGCCTGGTGGGCAGGCCTGTGTATTTAATAATCAATTGGGCCCTCAGGCCCCTGGCCCTGAGTCCTGGTGTTAACTGTGTTTGGAATGAACATTCTTCTACGTGGTATAGCACTGGTCTGTCAATTCACTGTACTGAAGTGATGTGAAGTCGCTATGATACTTAACGCTGTGCCAATGGTGTGTGAAATGCCATAATCGCTGCCCATGGCGAAGAGTGTTTGGTGGAGCTTCCAGATTAAGACAGGTTTGGAACCAGGAGTAGCATCCACTTCATAAACAACATGCCTCTGGAAACTATGAACTTAGAGAAACGACAGTAGTTATAGAACAGGCTTCAGGTCTTCTGTTCATAGGGTCACTATGAGTTGTACTCAACTTGACAGCACTTATCAACAAGTATCAGGCAAGGAGCTCTGGTGGCCTAGTGAGTAAGTAGTTGCATTGTCAAGCTAAAGACAAGTGGTTAAAATCCACCACTTGCTCCATGGGGAAAAAAGATGGGCAATCTCCTCCTTCCCGTTCTATTTACTGCCTCTAAAACCTGCTGCAGATTCTGTTCTGACTTGACGGCAATGAGTTGAGGTGATATATTAGGCTCTGTTGTTGATGTTGTGTCTTCGAATCAACTCTGACCCACAGTGATCCTACGTACAAGAGCTCTGAACCCTACTCTCTGTTGGGCCAATGTCACACTGTCTCTGACACATCTACTCACATTACTCCACTCACTGAGGAATCAATCCATCTCATCCAGGGTCTTCCTCTCCTGTGCTGTCCCTCTATCCTTCCAAGCATAATGTCCTTCTCCAGTGACTGGTCCTTCCTTGCAACATGCCCAAAGTCTATCAGATGGAGCTTCAAAATTATTTGTTCCATTGAGCAGCCTGATCTCACTCTGCAGGACGGACCTGTTTGTTCTCTTAGCAGTCCATGGTATATTCAATACCCTTCTTCAGCACCACAAGTCAAAGGCATTGATTTTCTATCATCCTTAGTCACTGTCCAGCTCTCCGATGCATAGCAAGTAACTACAAAGACCATGGCCTGGATCAGGTGCAGCTTAATCTCTAGACTGACATCTTTGTTCTTCAGTACTCTAGAAAGGTCCCTGACAGCAGATTTTTCCCAATGCAATTTGTCTTTTGATTTTCTGTCTGCTGGTGCCAAGAAAGTTGATTGTGGAGTCAAGCAAGCTGAAGCTATTAACAATCTCAATCTCTTCACCATTTATCATGCTGCTGCCAAATGGCCCAGTGGTGAGAATCTTTATTTTCTTGATGTTGAGCATCAATCCATATTGAAGACTGCAATCCTTGACCTTTTGCAGCAAATGCCTCAGGTCCTCCTCAGTTTCAGCAAGCAGGGTTGCCTAATGCAGATTGTTGATGAATCTCCCTCCAGTCCTGGTGTCACCTTCCTCCTCATGGAGCCCAGCCTCCCGGATGATCTGTTCCACATATAGACTGAAAAGGTATGGGGTTAGGAGGGCATCCCTGGCATACACCTTAAAGAGTAAAACACAACTCCGATGGCTCTTCTGCTCTCTGAGCTTTAAGAAAAAAATGTTGTCAACTTAAACTCATAGTGGAATCATGTGTGTCAGAGCAGAACACAGTTCACAACAGTCAAATCTTCAAAAACAAGTCATCAGGTCTTTCTTCTGAGGCACATCTGACTGAGCTCGAACCTCCAGCCTTCTGGTTCAGGGTCAAGTGTATAATGATTAGTACCACATAGCTGGACCAATTGGCAGCATCAGGATGGATGGCGAAGAGATTGAGACTGTTCACAGCTTTAGTTTGCTTGGCTTCATAGTCAACACTCTTGGCACCTGCAGCCAGGAAATTAAAAGACGTATTGCGATGGGAAAGTCTGCTGTTAGGGACCTCGCCAAAGTACTAAGAGGAATGATGTCACTCTGGAGACTAAGGTGCGACTGATACAGGCCATGGTCTTTGCAATCACTTGTTATGCATCAGAGAGTTGGACAGTGACTAGGGGGGATAGAAGGAGAATTGATGCCTTTGAGCTGTGGTGCTGGAGAAGAGTGTTGAGGTTACCATGGACTGCCAAGAAAACAAACAGATTCATCCTGGAGAGGGTTAAACCGGGGTGCTCCTTGGAGGCAAGGATTCTGAGGTTTTTTCCTAACTTTGGACACGCTGTAAGGAGAGACCAGTCCTTGGAGCAGGACATCATGCTTGGGAGGTTGGAGGGACAGTGAAGGAGGGGAAGACCCTCTATAAGGTGGATTGATTCAGTGACTGGGTTAATCGGGATGGGAGTGTCAGAGGCAGTGCGATTGGCACAGGACAGAGCAGAGTTTAGGACTGTTGTACATAGGGTCACTATGAGTGGCAAGCAACTCGACGGCACATAACAACAACTACCACCACCTAGCTGCCCAAGTCTAATTCTCCAAGTTACTGAATTAATCTACTTGCATCCCCTGTAAACGCCCACTTTCAAAATATATCTGAATCCAACCATTTCTTACCACCTCCATAGCTACTTCCCTGACCCAGCCCACCGAGCTATTTAAACTGGTTTACTACAAGAGCCTTCCACTCCTGCCTCACGACCCTCTACTCCCTGCATGGCAGCTAGAACAATGGTTTGAGATTGTAAATCACATCACTCTCCTCCCTAAAACACGCGAATGCTCATGCCAAGGATGAAATCCCAAATCCTTAACACTCTTCCAATGTTGGCCCTACTTGCCTCCCCCCACTGCCTCCTTCACTCTGGTCCAGATTGCCCGGTCTTCCTGAGAGAAGGCCACTCCTCACATTCCAGGCACACTCCTGCCTCAGAGTCTGGCATCTGTCAGCATCTTCTACTGGAAACTGAAGCTGTTAAAAATCTCAATCTTTTCACCATCTAGCGTGATGCTGCCAATCTGCCCAGTGGAGAGAATCTTTGTTTTCATGATGTTGAGCTTCAATCCATATGGGAGGCTGCAGTTCTTGACCTTCTACAGCAAATGCCTCAGGTCTTCTTCAGTTTCGGCAAGCAAAGTTGTATCATCTGCATAATACAGGTTGTTGATAAGTCTTCCTCCAATCCTGATGCCACATTCCTCCTCAAAAAGCCAAGCCTCTATGTGGATGACCTGTTGTTCCACATATATATTGAAAAGATATGGAAGTAGGATATGTCCCTGGCTACACCTTTCCTAATTTTAAACCATGCAGTGTTCCCTTGCTCTGTTCTGACAACTGCCTCCTGGTCCAAGTATAAGTTTCGTATAAGCACAATCAAGTGTTCTGGGATTCTCATTCTTCTCAGAGTTAGTCATAGTTTGTTGTGATCCACACAGTCAAATGCCTTTGCACAGTCAATGAAACACAGATAGACATTCCTCTGGCACTCTCTGATTTCAGCCAAGATCCATCTAACATCACCTATAATATCCCTAGTATCACAGCCTCTTCTAAATCCAGCCTAGCAGTTCTCTGTTGATGAGGTGTTCCAGTCATTTTTGGATAATCTTGCTTGCTTGTGATATTGCTCAATAATTTCCGCACTCTGCTAGGTCACCTTTTTTTTGGAATGGCAGCAAATGTGAATCTCTTCGAGTCAGCTGGTCAGGTGGTCGTCCTCCAGATTTCTTGGCACAACCTGATCAACGCATCCAGGGCAGCATCTGTTTGTTGAAATATGTCAATTGCTATGCCATCAATTCCTGGGGCCTTGTTCTTTGCCAATTCCTTCACAGGAGCTTGAACTTCCTCCTTCATCACTACAGGTTCCTGATCATATGATGTTTCCTGAAATTCTTCTATGCCAGCCAATTCCTTTTGGTACAATAACTGTACACTCCTTTCATCTTCTTTTAATTATTCTTAATCATTGACTACTGCGCCCAAAGCATCTTTAAGTATTACAACTCGAGGCTTGAATTTGTTCTTCAGTTTCTTCAGTTTCAGAAATGCCAGGTGTGTTCGGCCCTTTTGACTGACTCCAGTTCTTTGCACATTTTATTATACTACTTTGCTTTGTCTTCCTATGCTGCCCTTTGAAGTCTTCTCTGTTCAGCGTTTTAATTTCTTCCTTCTGCTTTGCCTTCTCATCGCTCCAGTGCAAAATCAGTTTTGTCTAACATCTTCTTTTCTTCCTCCTCTGTCTTTGTAATGACCTTTTGCACTCTTCCTGGATGATATTCTTGATATCCTCCCACAGCTCATCTTGTTTTCACTCATTAGTCTTCAAGGCCTTAAACCTGTTCCTGAGATGGTTTTGAAATTCAGGTGCCCTATTTGCAAGATCTTAACCATCCCTGTGGCAAAGGTAAGCTCAATGGCTAGGAAAGCCATTCTGAACAATACACTTTTGGCACCATACAATCTCCAACAGCTTCTCAAATACTATAACCCAGTATATTAGAAAAATGAGGATCCTGGTAATAAAATACTATCAGAAAATTAAGAACTAAGATGTTTATTGTTGTTATGTGCCGTCAAGTCGCTTGCAACTCACAGCGACCCTATGTACAACAGCCCTGAAACCTGCTCTACCCTGTGCCCCTGAAGTATATTGCTATGTTGATTCTGGACAACCCAAGCTACTGCTGAAATTACCACCACACAACCACAGGTTAGTGACTATGATCAAGAGAATTGCTACATGAGAATTTCTATTATTTTCTTAAGGAAAAGATGCTTAATTCTTTGCTGCTGAGTTAGGACTCATAGCTGACACACCCCCCCACACACACACTGAATATTCAGAGACTATAAACTGCACAACAGGAGACTGACCATCTTTTTCCCTAAAAGCAGCCGGTGGGTTTGAACTGTCCATCTTTGGGCTGGCAGCATAATATCCTTACCCACTGAGAGACCAGAGCTCCCTAAAAGGTAATAGATGACTATTTTTACTACATTAAAGGAAAATAAGTAAAATTCCGACAATATGTTAGAACGCACCTTTGATTTCTTCTGAAGCCTCTTACCTGCTGAATGAGATGCATACACTTGGAAGACTGTACACCGTACGCATTGTTGACTATATGCGGGATGCCGTAATTAGCACAGATCACAGCCAGTTCTTCTAATCTATAAACATAAATATGCAATAGAAAGAAACATTTAACACTGTGCTTTACGAATTACAGTGTGGAAACTTTTTTAAAAATTTTAATAGTACACCAGGGAGAAAAGATGTCAAACACTGAAATCTCTGCTAGAGTGTTTGAGCATGTAATTAAAGAGCTTGGAATTATACATCTAGAAATTAAAATAAACCTAAGTAAGAATTTAATGTTGCCAAATAATGAAAACGCAGCATACATGTATAACAACTTGTATAAGCAGCTTTGAAATAGTTTTAAATTTCCTATTTATAAAAGGTATGAAGGAGAACATTTGTATGGACCCCTCCTCACAAAGTGTTATATTCATTTCCAGATGATTTTAGTTGCGCATAATAATATGGCTAATTTCTAGAAATCTTAACAGATCCCATATTAAGCATGTGGCCTAGCAGGAAGGAACTGCACTGTCAATCAAAAGGCAGGTGGTTCAAATACAGCAGCTGTTCTGAGGGAGAAAGATAGATACTCTCCTCTCATTTCATTTGCATACTCAAAAAGTGCACTCGGTCAGCTATGAGTCAATTCTGACTCCACAGCCCACAACAACAAAACAAAAATGGATTTTTCCAATAGATTTTAATGTATTAAAAGATAATAACATGGAAATGTTTCAGTATCAAAAGAACTTTTTGATGTTCCATAGCAACACAGTTCCTAGAAGGAATTCTTTCAAACAGCTGCTGGTTCTAAATCCACTCTAAAGCTTCCATGTCATACCTGTCTATGAAGAGAATGTGGGAGTCTGACTTTATGCACAATAAGGTAACACTTCAATCAGATAATATATACATGGTCGTCACAAAACCAAGTAACACTTCTGGCCAAGGTTATTGGTAACAGAAATGTCTTCAAGCTATGAAACTAAAATGAAACCTTACAATTTAATAATTTTTTTTTCATTTTCTTTTTGCAATATAAATCATTTGGAAGCAAAGTATTTTTGTAAAGCAAAATTCTTTTTCATTAAGGATATACTCCAAATATGCAGTATGTTATTATCTACTCATATATATAATACATTTATTTTCTAATATGCATTAATGTTCCTTTGAAATTTTATAAATTAAATACTCATTTTATTATTAACTTTCAAAAACTTCATGGACCCAAATCGAAATCCCTTTTATTTCTAAAACTAATTAGATGCTGCTTTTTTTTTTTTTTTTTTTTAGATGCTGCTTTTAACAAAACAGAAGGTTTTGGATACACACACGTATTATCTTCATAAAATTAAAGAAACTTTCACATATATTGCTCTTAATCGAAGTTCTCCTTAACAAAGAATACTATAACATAAAAATGAGTTGGGAAGTTTCAAGTAGTCTAAGTTGATTAAATCTTCAAATATTAAGTATACGGCATTCTCATGCTGAAAGAACCGAAAACCAAATTCAAGCATCCAGCTGCAATACAGAGGGATGATATGGACAAAACCTAGAAGCATCAAAATAAAATTGAGGGAATAGAGAGTCACTCTAGCAGAAGGAATTCACTGACACACAACAATTTCAGGAAGTAGTATGATCAGGAACCAATGCTGATAAAGGGAGAAGTTCAAGTTGCACTGAAAGCACTGGCAAAAAATTGCTGCTGTTGTTGTTGTTATTTGGTGCCACTGAGTCACATACAACTCACAGCAAACCCATGAACAATGAATCTGAAACCTGTCCTATCCTGTGCTATCCTCACCCTTTCTCAGCCCAGAATTCAATGCACACCAAATAGTGTTTCAACAAACAGATACAGCCCTAGATATGCTCACCAGTCAAAGCCAACAAATTTGGAAGACGGCTACCTGGCCAACTGACTCAAAGAGAACAATATTTACTCCCATTCCCAAAAAAGGTGATCCAATGAAATATGGAAATTACCAAACAATACCACTAGTAGTATATGAAAGTAAAATCTTGTTAAAGATTATCCAAAAGCAGCTGGAACAGTACATGGACAAGTAACCATTAGAAATACAAGCTGAACTTAAAAGAGGCTGTGGCACCAGTGATTATCACTGCTGACATCAGATGGATCCTGGCCAAAAAGAGAATTCAAGAAGGATGTTTGTGTTTTATTTACTATACAAAGGCATTTAACTGAATGGATCATAATAAATTATGGCTAATCTTGAGAAGAATGAGAATTTCTGAACACTTAATTATGGTCATATGAAACCTATACTCCGATCACCAAGAAGCTGTGGTACAAACAGAGCAATGAAACAGTGTATGGTTCAAAATTAAGAAAGGAGTGGGTCAGGCAATATCCTTCCTTCATACTTACTTAATTTGCCAAGCAAATCAATCAAGAGGCTGAACTTTACCGGGGGAAAAAGGATATGGCATCAGGACCAGAGGAATGCTCATCAACAATCTGTGTTATGCAGATTACACAACCGTGCCTGCTGAAAACAAAGAGGTTTTTAAAAGTTTGCTGAAGAAGATCCAGACAGACAGCAATTTGTGGAGCAGTTAAAGATAAATCCCTGATCCAGGAAGTATTAAAAGAAGATGGAAGGAATATACGGAGTCATTATATAGAAAGGAATTAGCAAATACAGAGGAATTTAAAGAAATAACATATGAGCAAGAGCCTAT